CTTGATTCTTCCCTCGGCCTTCCACTGACTCAGGGTTATGAGTAGATGAAGTCCAACGGTACTTCTCGGCTTGAAAATGTGATCACTTTCTCCAATTACCAATAGTGAACATTAAAAAATCTGACGGATCAATCAATGCCACTGTTAGTCGGCAGAAAATTCCAAAATGCACAAATCAGGTGTTGCGTTAGGGTCTTAGATCCTGTCAAACAACAACGCCGAACTACAAGTGCAGAGTATAGTTTAATCTAAGGAAACACAATTAAAACAAATTTTCCTATCACATACTTTTGATAACTCAAAGTAACTGAATTTTGATTTCCTTGTGCATTGTAATCAACAAATCTCAACTAAGTATTAGGCTTATAGCCGAAAACTGCTATCTAAAGCATCATTTCGTTGCTATTTCAAGTAACAAATGAAAGGAATGACGAATGTATCAAAATGAAAACATAAGTGTCGAACATGTTTTAACAGATTAGAAGAAATTAGATTAAAATTTTCAGACAATTAGGTTGTCATGCATAACCGCTCATTCACAGTATCTCAGAGAGAATAAAATAATGCACAACTGGTAAAGATGTTTTTCTTGAGAATGAAAAAGATGTAAAGAATCTGCAGAGCAAAAGATGGGCAACGTAGTTGTACCTTGATCCCAGAAACTTTGTGATTAATGGATATAATCAAAAGTATCAAAACTCTGTTTTATCAAGTGTTTCATCTTTAATAAAGCCGTTCCGAGGGACAGGAGCTTCGAGTAACACCCACTTCCGAACTTATATAAGTAACCGCTAAACTTTTAAAACGCAGATTCTCCTGAGAAACGCAGTTTCAGTGTGAAAGGTTGTTGTGCGAGCTAAATACATTTACAACGAAATCGATCAAATAACAGTTCATAATAAACTATATGTACAATATATGATTGCAATATGTATAAATACTGTATAACATTATCAATGTAAGAGATTCTTTGAAAATGTATGAAATTATGAAATCAAACTTTAGTTTTGTGTTCATTGATGCACGGGATCATCTCCATGCCGTCATCAACAACGAGGTCTGCAGGAATGCAGTTGAAAACTATCTGAGACACTTTGAGTAGAAAACCTAAACATTTTGATAAGGAAAATGATTATGAAAGTCATCTTACTGTCGATTCGTTTCAAAAACTTTGGCACTGTGGCTGGATAGATAAAAAGGAAATAAATTATGAATCCCACCACAATAAGAGAAAGACCGTAAATAGCCACATAAAAATCCTGGAAAAAATGAGTAAATAAGAATGATAATAAATTTTCAAAATACTTGAACAATTGGTATGATAAGCAGAGCTAAGCAAATGCAAAAGAAAACACATGGAACAAAGAATGGAACTTTGAAAACATCTGGTCCATCCAACCATCCTTTCCATTTCCAATACAAAAATCCAGCCTTTAAGAAGCAGATTATCTTTTCATTGATTATGACCATATTTACCTGTGTCATCGTTCGTTGTGCCCACAAAGCAAATGACATGTAGCTAATGATATGATCCAGGTTCCCGATGAAAGAAATTCCTATTCCAACACAAACCTAAACATGATACTTGGAGAAAAACTTCCAGAAAGAACTGTCTGACTTGAATGAATATAGAAACTCTAGGAGACATGGAAGTGGGATTGAAACCCCTGATAGCTGTTGGAACAACACCTCGCAAAGCTCCAGCATACAAATATCTGGAAACAAACAGATTCGTTTCCATATATATTCATTAGATACCTGCTACATGCAAAAATAGTAGAATTCAGGTTTCCTGTGAGTAAAAGAGCTATCAGAAAAGGTACAGCGTACTGAAAGTTTCCCAAAGTTTCGCTGGCGAACTTCTGAGAATATCTTGAATAGAAAGAAAAAAAGTCTGCTAACAAACCACAGCAACAGCATCAGCAGATTTAAACTCATCAACAGTTAGAACAGTGAAGTATGAAATGTTCATAGAAATGAAAACTAAAGCTGATATTCCAATCCCAGCAAAAGCAGCAATAGGTAGAGTTCTAGAAAATATTTCAAAATCTCTATTAACTCTGTAAAATAAAAAACCTTTTGGGGTTTTCCACTTCTTCAGCTCCAAAATTGAGAACGTCCCAACCATTATAAGCGAACAGACCAGAATAGATTCCAAGCACGATGTTTCCAGGTCTCCAGCTACTCCCTTCAAAGCTGTGATGAAAGTTTTGAGTATAACCTGAAAAGCATAATTCAAACAGGAAACGATGAAAAGTATAACCTTTAAAGCATAAATAGTAGAAACCAGTAACTATGATGATGCCAGCAACCAATACTTTAGCAATCGTGGCCACCACTTGAAAACGTCCTGCAACGTTTTTCAACGAGTAGAAGTTTAGAAGCATCAATGGCCCTGAAGAAGTTGAAACTATTTTGATTAAAAAGAGAATTTGTCTTACATAAAACTGAGAAGCCTATCAGTCTTTCGGCAAAGAACGTGGATCTTTCATCCAGCTGGAGGCTACTGCCAAATCCAGCAACAACGTACTCTCCAAGTGTTATCGTCTTCAAAAAAAAACTTAATTGAAAACAAAGATGTGTGTAAACCTGGATAGCCATGGTGGCCGGATAAGAGAGTACAGCAGATACCCACATGAAAGCAGATGCGAAAGGACGCCTATGAGAGTAAGCAGTGAGAGAAACCATAATGTACGGAACTACCATCCAAAATGAGAAAGATATGCAAAATCATTTCCAGATTTCTTGATAGCTGTCCCCAGCTCCATATAGCATAACGCTCCAAATAAAGAAATAGCAGCACATAGTGCCCAAACAACAAGAGACAATCCAAGAGAACCCGTATGCTTTAAGATAGAAGTAGGAGAAACAAAAATCCCTTTAAAAAAATTTCAATAAATAAAATTATGAACAGAAGATACAAACCTGAACCAACAATATCACCAACACAATAAGAGATGGCACTTGCAATACCAATCTTCTGACCCGTCAACATTGCTCTTCAAGAGCTTTCTTCCGTAACAATGTGTTAAATTTTCTTGTATTAAAACGAATTTGTATTATCATCACATTGCTCTAGTCTTATCAAATTAATAGGCTTCCTATAATTTTTAATTCATTCTAAGAATTGCGTCAGAATCTTTGAGATATATTCGAAGAGCAACATAAGACTCTCGAATTAGATGATCTATGATCTAATTGCAAAAAATAAAAATAATTTTTTCTTTCATTAATCCCAAAGTAGAATATTATTTATTTAACATATTGAATCTACCTCATACATTCTTTGTCAGGTCTTCGGCATTTCTATGGGAAGTCTCCATCAAGGATTTCATAGGACATCTCAACGTCATCTTCATGTACCATCAAGTTAACTTATAATTAGGGACTGAAATGTAACTATATGATCTCTGCATACAACCGGAAGACCATGTGCTTTCAATAATCAGTTTCTTTTCCAATAAGATTACAAACAAAAAGATTACAATTGATATGAACTTAGATGTCAACTCGAAAAGTGAAAATGATAAAAAGAACATATTTTATCAAAACACAACCGTTCATCTTAAAACATGAATGAGTAAATGATAAATGATTGATACGAGACAATTCATGTGCTAACCATGTGATGCATGCAAAAACTAAAAAGTGAAATTGTCCGGATATTATCCTATCAAATGAGTATTATAACAAACAAAGGAAATAACTTAATTATCTATTTAGTATATAATCAATTTTATGAAAACAGATCATTGCGGAGAATCTTCAATATGAGTTTCAGAATCAATGAGACCTTCGGACTTTGATACAGCGTCATCTTCAGCATTGACAAAACGCTCAAAAGGTATTTCAGTCATCGTCGAAACTTGAGAATGATAAAGATATTTTTGCAATTTTCTAATTTGATCAATATTTATCTGAAACAATTTTTGTTTTATTGTATAATATGATTTAGTCAAGATAGAGACTAAAACTATATAAATGAAATTAAAATTTAAAGAATTACATGAGCCGTTTGTGTAACCGGAAACGGTCGTACATTATACTGAGCAAGATTTTTATGTTTGTTACCCATAGGTAAACTAAACCAACAACAAACTATAAATAAATATAAATTAATAAATATATATAAATCAATCGATAAGACCCAATAGTATGAGACCAGATAAAACCAAGAAGAATACTCGTATACCCGAAAGCATTTTTTGTGAAATAAAATCTTCAACCATATCACTCCATGTTCGTCTATAAGAATATACTGAAATGAGATTAAAATTAAAATTATTTTAAGTTTCTTTCAATTCATAACCGAAACTAGATGTATCAATGAAGCACATGTCATCATTGCAGTATGTATAAGTCCATTGACCTCCTATAAACGTCTTTTTTCATTTCATCTGAATCAATAGAGCTTACCAAGTTCAGTTACATAGTAATCTGCTCCTTTGCCATTAAACTCTGTGTAGTTCAATCCATTCGGCGATGTCCACAGAAGGTCAGTGATGCAATTCCTCAGAAACAAAACTACAAAGAACATATTGCTGCCTGATTTATAAACTATTCAACTTACTTGTTCCATTTTTCTGAGATGACAACTCGAAACAGGAATGTGTGCAGGTGACCTGTAAATGAATTTTAATAAAAATAAAATTTTATTTTCTATATTACCATATGGGTTTCAGATTGGTTGAAACATACTTGATCATAGAACTCAAGCGATATCTTATCATCGTTTAAGCCAAGAACTTCAGCTTCTTTTCTTAATATCTGAGGATAAGTAGATTATGAAAATACATGTTTTATTCCAAGCTTCACCCTATTCATTTCTAAATCCTGACACTTATGACACAGCCTTTCTCCCGTAACGATGGACACGAACATGATGAAGAGAAGAGAAATGAGCCATTTCTCTCTCATATTAACCCTGAAATTATATATGAAATATGCTTTTTATTCGTTTTGAAATATGATGATCAACATAGGAAAACAATAAAGCTTAAAGTTTTGAAGAGAAGATGTTGGAATGATCAAAGAAATTTGGCTTAAATCTGAATTAGATTATTCAAACGTTTGGAGGACGACGAAGCACAAGAACATGATGAGTGAGGAGGTTGCAGCGCCAAAGGAGAATTCACTTGAGCGAAGAGGAGAGCATGTTTAAAGAGATCAGATAAAAGGAAAAAAAAAGTTTTTTCTACACAATTGAAGCAAAGAAACGATTTATTATGTTTGAAGTCAAACTGAAACGAAGAATGAGCAAATCGAAGAGAAAATGAGATGTTTAAGGTTTGTTCGAAATAAATTATTGGTAGCGGTTTTCGATAGCAACCAGGATTATTATGAGCTTCAGCTTAAATGTGATATCTAAAGGGTGGATGAGGATTATATAATATAAATATCCAAATTATAAAGAGGAAATAATGATTTTGCAAAGGTTTTTAGTTTAAAAATACAGAGGTAACAAGAGAATCCAAACGAACATGAAAGAGATGTAAAGGTGGAGAGAGGAAAGAGAGAGGAAAAGAGGACAACGAGAGGGAAATAATAATAACGATTGAAAGTATGAGAGAGGATGAGAAAAAGAAATCTTATAAGCTGTAAGGAAGGAAAGGTCATGAGCAGATGTTGAGGTCACCGTCTGCCATATATGGTTTTACTTCTAGCTTCAGCCACGAATTCAATCCATATTTGAGAGGAAGAAGCCAATTAATAATTCAAAACATTGAATAAAAAAATACCGAATGATCCTATTAAGTGTAAGAGAGGAAAACTTTTATTAAAATATCACAAACATTTTATAAAATCACAATAAACTCAAAATACTTATACAGACGACTAGAAGGAATGAAGATGAAGAACTGGATGAATATCCATAAAATGACTTTCCATCTCTATTTGATTCGGATGAATAGTGATGTTGGTAACGTGGAGATATGTGAACTTCATTACATTCAGATGAAGTGCAGAAACAGTAGTCTGCTTGCACAACATAAGGCGGAACAGTTCTGAACATTTTCGAATGAAAAAGGCATTTCTCACGTTTAAATGCCATATAGCCACCCAAATGATCTATATTGACAAACGGCTGGTTCAAACTACATTTTTCTTTCTTTCAATTACTTTTCTTTAAACTTCTCTTCAAAGTACGCAACTGAAGAGTTTCTTAACATGTTTCCATGTTCAAATTAGCATAAGCTTCACGTGAAAGTACACGTAAGCATTCTGTACTCGTTCTCTAATGATTCATTTTGAAGTGTGAATGACGATGTGAGCGGTTGTGTTTTTCGTTTCATTGTTTTCTCATTTTCTTTTTTTTTGCAAACAATAAAATAAACAAACTTTAGCACAATATCCTTCCGTATACAACCACCAGCGTTTGTTTGTTGCAATATCATAGAAGAACATCCATATGAAACTCCTAGAATGTGTGAAAAAATATATTTTTTTGTTCTACTCTCTCTCTCTCTCTCTCTCTCTCTCTCTCTCTCTCTCTCTCTCTCTCTCTCTCTCTCTCTCTATATATATTCTGCTATTGTTTTGTCTTTATTAAGATAACATACCGAACGGAAGTAGTTTTTTACTTTTTATGTGTAAAGATGTAACATTTAATGAAAAACAGCTGTCTTCACATTCTTGTAAAGCAACTTCTCTTCTTAAAAAAGTTTTTTTTAAGAAAGTTGAAAAATTAAAAATAAAACTTGTCACAATGGGTTAAGTTATGACGATAGCCATCTTGTAGGTCTCGTGGATTCACAAAAAACCCGCCGTAATGCTGAAAGTGAAACGAATGTGGTAAGATGATAACGAGAAGCATGACGTTAGCTTACAGTTTCTATACTTGGATCTGAGCAGAGATTACAATATCGAACTGATTTTACCGTTTGAATGAATACAAATAATAAAAATATTTGAAATTTGGTCAAAAAATTCATTTTTCATAATTTTCCATAAAATATTCTAAAATGAGGTAAAAGATAATTAACGATCGTATATAATTAAACAAACACCTGCAAAGATAAAGAGAAGAAAAGACAAGAGAAGAAGGGAAAAGGAGAAAAACGAAAAGAAGGTCAACGAACTGTCAAAATTAGATGGCAAAAAGAAAAACAAGAAAAAACAGAAATAAAAAAAAAAGCAAAAATGTAGTTTGAAAAAACGATGTTGATGAGAGGAATATCAATTTAGTTGAAGAAAGTCGTTATTTCATCAAAGGAATATATTGAAAAGCATTGAAGCATGTTGTTAGCCCCGGGGGTGAAAAGAATATGAAAAGCTGACGAATGAAGCCATGAAGGCACGCACGTTCAGTCTTATTGGTGTTGATGCAACCAAATATATTTCAAAAACACATGATGAAGTTCGGTTTGTGCAGATAAGGAGAATGATAGTTGAGAAGAGTGAATGAAGCGAATTAACAATAAGATTTTAATGAATCTTCAGATCCGGAATTTAACAATAAGAAATGGATGTTAGACTACAGGATATGCAAATGAAGGACGAGAAATTAGTAAAACATCCAATTGTTAAGAGAGAGAGAGAGAGAAAGAGGGAGAGAAGGGAAGACAGTTTTAGAACTTAGAAGGGAAACTGATGAAACTTTTCAAAGAAGACATCTGGCTCACAGAAACTTTCAAAGAAAGACTCAACTTTCAGACTGACTTTCTTCCATTTATGGTCAGACAGCTGACGTCAAAAGTACTTCAGATAGATCTGATTTCTCCTCTCTCTCTCTCTTCAGCAAACTTATTAAATTGTTGAATAAAGTTCAGAAAAGACGATGTAAGGATGAGAAAAGTTGTAAAAGAATGGAAGAACAAAAAAAAGAAAAAAGGCTGATATGCAATAGAAAATAACAAAATAAATAGGGTTTTCGGTGACCCACATCTACGGGCTTCACTTCATTAGACGTCAAGCTGAAATTTGGATAAAACAAAGAGAATCAATAGGAGTTAAGGGTGGTTGGGGGGGGAGAGTTGCAAAAAAGGAGAGTCGATC